CCTAGGCCTCTAGTTGATAGAGATATGTCATGTGTAGTATTAGCCCAGTAACTAAGGAGTGATGTCATGTAATGAATCATAGAGGGTTGTAGAGATATGCTATGTGGTCATATCGGCCCAGTAACTTAAGGAGCAATGACGTGTAATGAATCATAGAGGGTTGTAGCAATCGTTGAGTAGTATTGCTATTGTTGTTGGTGTGACAAGCCAAAATATGTATAGTGACTTGTAGGTTTGAGGAGGAGATTTCTAAGTTTGCTCTTGAGTTTGATAGCAAACTGAGTGCAACGAATTTCAGTATGACAGCAACTCGCTTGTGAAATATGTTATGAGCTTTGTAAATCATGATCAGTATTCCCCAAAATAGTATTAGTATTTGTGGGTTTCGAATAGTATTCGGCGATGAGCAGTATTCGGGCTAAAATTGGGGTATTCAGTGAGTATTTGCCAAAGACTCGAATACTATTCGAGTCCTTGGCAAGCACAGCCCAGGATGCCAAGCTACAAAGATTTTACCCCGCCCTCATAGATAGATCCATAGAAATAGATCCATAGATAATATACCAATTGATATTTCTACCAGAATGAGCGACTCTGAGCTATCAGCAATTTCAAGTGACGAAGATGAGGAAATTCAGCGTCTACCACCCCCTTTTCCATTCGAGTCTTCGCCGTTGATAGCTCTACCATTACTACAAATACGGCCACAACTCCCAAATACTCAGTCACCATTGTTCTTAAAGAATGTATTCAGTAGACATTGTTAAGCACCAGCCCTGCAACGATGAAGATTGTCTGTATGCAAGATGGCTGTAATTATAAGCAAAAACTGAAGCTTTTATCATGGAATATCATGAGTAATTTGTGGAGGCATGTTGAAAGCATGCATCCTGCATTATACAAAGCAGGAACTCCATTGCTACAGTGTGCTCAGGATTCGCAGAGTCTGAGTTCGCAGGATTCGCAGGGCGCTCCGAATATGAGAACACCTGAAACGCCCAACAATTCTTTACTCCTCGAGTAGGAGGATCCGTTCTTGCCTCTCGATATAGAGAGTTATTACTTGCATTTATTGTATCTAATAACTTACCAATGAGTCTGGTTGATCAGCCTTCGTTTCATCAGCTTATTCACCAGCTTAGCCCTTCAACATTAGCTATATCAACGAGCTCCTTAATGCGCGATTTACACAAGACATTCTGCAGCTACAGATAGAACTACAGGCTCATATAGTAAAGGGCAGACAGTTATCACTTATGACTGATTCATGGTCTGCAATGATGGTGCAGAGCACGCTGCGATAACTGTTCATTGGATAAATAACGAATGGGTTCACCGGCACTGTGTTTTTGATATCATACATCTAAAGGAGCCCATTCATTCTGGTGAATATCTTGCAGAGCAGCTTCAAGCTGTTACGGACGACTTTGGTATTACGAACGGAGTCTTTACAATTACTAGAGACAACGCATCGAACAATACAGCAATGCTCGCAGAGTTTGAAATAGGGGCATGCATGAGCGTCGTTTCTATACAGCAACCATGGAGCTTTACAGTAAAGGAAGGTGACATCCAATGCAGGGCACACACTATAAACCTTGTGGTTCAAGCAGCTTTAACTATGTTAAAAGCTGTACCATCAGAACAAACGGAATGGTATAGGCTTAAGCAAGGCTTAGCTCATACTCAAGGCTTCGTTCTTAATAAAGAAGAAGTGGCAACGGTTCTTATAAAACTACGCTGGCATATCTATGTCTTCCGGAACCGTCGAGCATGAAAAGATGCATTAAAAGTTCAAGCATCTGCTATGGGTATTCAGGTGGTTTCAATGTCCCTCGATATGCCTGTACGATGGAACTCAACATATTATATGCTTGAGAATGCTTTGAAGCTTGAGCAGCCGATCAATGCTTTATGTGCTTTGCAAACGATGGATTTAAGTATGTGTGATATTATCATTACATCAATAGAATGGCAAGTGTTACCTGGACTAAAGGCGTTCTTTAAGATATTCATCAAACCAGCAGAGCAAGTTCAAGCAGATAATTATCCAACGTTGAACGTCTGTATTCCACACTATCTACGACTTTTAAATAAGCTTAAGGCAATGGAAAATGCTCCATTGACAACAGCAGCAATTGGCAGGTTGCAAAAGGTGCAGTAAGTGCAATACACTGACGTTATTGCGAGAAGAAAACGCTACACTTCGCAAAGCAAATGATTTGCAAGGAAATACTATCTACTTATATAGTGGCGTCGTGCCAAAGGGATATCCATGATATCCAATGTTATCCATCACCTGATATTCCGTGGATCCCTGTGGATAACATGGATAACATAATATCCATGATATCCAATGTTATCCATCATGTGAGGTTGCAGCCGTAAGCGCTAGACATAGCACTAAACTAGCCGTAACACACAGTTCACAGCTTGCTATAAGCAGTATAAAGACTGTGAGAACGATATACAGGTTGCTGCTATTGAAGCTACTATTGCTGCCGAAACTGAGCAGCCGACGACTCTAAGAGAACTTGATTTCGACGACAAGATGTATCAGCATCGTGGGCCTTCTATTGAGGGAGTTGAGTGGCGACGATGGTTCATGTAAGGTGTAATGGTGGGTGCACCAGATATGAGAATCTAGCCACCCAGGAAGGGATGAATTTACTAAGACAACACACTGTCTTAGGAAACAGAGCCAAAGGGTTGTAGCTTAGACTATTCCACAACGCAGCAATCAGGTGTATGATGTGGTGAAGTGGGTTAGACAAGTTGCAACAAATGTTGAGTCTGGGAACTCAGGGGTAAGTCAGAGGTTAGCACCTCACTGACTTTTCAAAAACAGAGAATAACAAGATCAATGCTTGGAAGCTTGGAAAAGACGTAGAAGTATGTGCTAGTCGATTTACTGTATTGCCTGCTTGCCCTTTCTTAAGGAAAGGGCAATCCTATTTATGCCAAAGGAGTGTAGTTCTCTCATTTTCCATGACTTTCCATGACTAACCAGGCTTGGTAAATGTATTAGAAATCAAGTGCGACCCACAACTAGCTTGCTAATCATGTAGTGAACGTAAGAGAATCCCATAGAACCATCTCTTGGGTTCCTAGCCTATAGGAAGTGAAAAGGAGGTCCAAGGTCAGAGTACCTATAGACAAATTATGTCATAACTTAACCAATCTTGTGGGTAACTAAGGAGCGATGACGTGTAATGAATCATAGAGGGTTGTAGAAGCTTCTAGAGCTATCGTTCATGTTCCTAGGCCTCTAGTTGGTAGAGATATGCCATGTGGTAGTATTGGCCCACCCCCTTAAGGAGGAGATATTCTTAATAACTTGTTCAATGAGTGTCCAAATAATATGCTGTGATGTATGTAGCATAAACAGATGTAGTAGAAGAGTTTGCAGCAATCGTTGAGTAGTATTGCTTCTGTTGTTGGTGTGATAAGCCAAGATATGTATGGTGACTTGTAGGTTTGAGGAGGAGATTTCTAAGTTTGCTCTTGAGTTTGATAGCAAACTGAGTGCAACAAATGTCAGTATGACATAAGGACACAGGGCACCCAGCTCACAGTAATAGCATATGAGAGTGCGAGTCGGAGGCTAAACGGATGCTATCCTATAGGTCTACTACGAAGGATACAAAAAAGATGAATGGGGAACCCCGTTGAGTCTGTTTCCTTAAGTACCCGAAACGGGCCCGACTCGGTTATCCCAACCCTAGTCCTGAACCTTCCACTGCAACAGGTCTGCATCGGCCCTGAACCCTATACACTTACTGTCCCCCACTATAGTGTAACTCGCTATATGCTCCTCTACTGGTTCGAAACCCCACCGAGTCGGATTCCATGCTTGTAGTGACCGTAACAGTTCTGAGACAGGTTCTTCGAGTATCTAGGTACGGAGGCATCCTTACAGTTCAAAGAGAATGGTGTCGACCGTAGGGACTATTTGGCAATTCCAGCCTCATCGGCAGCGTCAGAGCGTATATTTAGTGTCAGCAGTGATATAGTCAGAAAGAAAAGGAACAGGTTATTACCTTTAACTCTTCGATATCTACTCTGCCTATGGGATTGGGGGGTTATAGGCGACGAGGAGGAGGATAATAGCGAGTAGACAGTTATCATATTTCATTACTATGTACTTCAGTTGAGCCTCAAAATACTCAAATACTATTTGGCGAGGATTCGTATGAGTATTTGCCGAATACTCCCAGATGGCGAGTATTTGGGAAAACCCTGAATACTATTCGAATACTATTTGGGGAACACTGATCATGATTATGATTACGACCTAATAATCATGATTATAATTGATTTTCCAACCCTAGCAAGGCCAAAGTAGATAGGTTGTAGAAGTTTTAATGAAAAACCTAAATTATATAGATAAAGTTGGCAGCCTATCACATGTTATACCACTCAATCGAACACATGATAGTCCTACTGTTATCGTCAAGGCTCCCCAACTGGTGCTTAGCGTAAGCCGATTAGCTCAGAACTCCGCATTAGGTTTCAGGCCCAAACCCTTCTGCTACTCAGGGGGTTTGGGCAGGCCCTCCGATAGTGTAGTAATTCAATTAATCTATTTTATTCTATATACTGTAGTCTACTGTCGAGTTTTCCTGCCCGTTGCGCAAAAGCCCGAAGGCCCCGTCACCAAAGACGCCACACGATTTTGCGCGCGGTCGCAATATCTCGGTCCTTCCTCTAACATAAGAAACCACTAGGAACCACACCGGTCTAGGCGGTTCGGCTGGTTTTCCAACCCAGACCCTGGTTTAGGTTGGAAAATCTTCAGACCGGCGGTTTGGAACCGTCGGTCCCCCGTGACGCACGCTAAGCGGGGGTGAGAGCGCGAGTGGAGCGTAGAATGGCTAATTTAGGTATCTTTACATATAAATCACTATGGCAGGGTACATGCAACATAACAAATTGCGAAACCCGTGCATCTCCCAACCTTAGCGAAGCGAGAAGTTGGTTGGATACGACGATTAATGTCTGACCTCGGAAATCCTGTGCGAATAAAGTTTCTACCCTCACTAGCATTTAGTATCGCCCGCTAACGTTCCACCAGGGATCAAGCGATCAACCCTCCAAACAAGAACTGGACTGGCCTCGGAGCTTCTCGAAGCGTCATCTAGCACTCAAATCGAAAAGAGTGAGGGCCCTGGACTGGAAACGTCACGATAACAACATCTATAATAAGATCACACACTGGATTGAGGTGATCGGTGAGGTTTTAAAGGACCCGGCCATACTGTCGGACAATGTCTACAATATGGACGAGACCGGAGTCATGTTATGTATGATCGGCCACTACCCATCGAAGCACCTGGACCACGTTCCGCATCCCTGGGTGGCACTATGCGCGTGCTCGGAGTGCGTCCTGCCACGTTCCTCGCTGACAGCGGCGTAGAAATCGCTTCTCCGTCGCGATTTTTGGGGCCAAACCCCATTCTTCCCTAGGCACATCCACTCACCCCATGTCGTGTTGGATGTGAGATTTGACCCCTGCAATTACGGGTCCAGCTGGTTCGACGAACTGTGATCGTGGCACTGAAAGTGCACTATTGGAACATTGGCATTGTGCCTAGAGTAGAGCGTGGCCATCGCATGATGTCCCCCCTGATGGGAAATGCGTCTGCCGTTTTGCTCTTCAACTCCCTTATCTCAAAGGGGATTCTACGACCTGCGACCTGAGCATTTACTTTTGCTCTCTATGTGCGCTCTATGTTCTGGATCTGAGTAGTGGCTGCCTGGAAGAATTACAGTGGGGCGCAGTGTTGGTTTTCTGACCGATGAGCTGATAGAGGAGGCGCTACGATCTCCAGGAGGGTGTCTGTCATTCGCTCTTGGCTTCATATTCTATCATTAACCAGCCCTACGGTGCTACTATACACATAGCCATGACCGACGTCAGGGGCGAGACGAGGGGTGACCAGGTCGGGCTGCTCGAAGAATACAAATTGGAAGAGTTGAACGAGAGCAGGAGAAGTATTTTGAGTAGATCCAGTTCAGACGAGACGTTGCTACCCATCTCCGGATCATCAGACATAATACCAGTGAAAGCAGCGCACACCCGCGACTTCAGCGCCAAAACATTACTCACTCTCCTTCAAGCCTATGCCCTCGCTTTCTTCGTCGGTCTCATCCCGAGCTTCCTCCGTCGATCCCAAGAAACCAAGAAGCTCCATCCGACAGCATACCTCGATGGCCTCCGCGGGGTTGCGGCCTTTATGGTCTTTATACACCACACTATACTCGACTGGTATCCAGCGCTCTCGCGCGGTTACGGCTCCTCAACACCCCAAAACTCGCACTTCTTCCTGCAGCTGCCGCTGATCCGCATCGTCTACTCGGGGCGCGGCATGGTGTCCGTATTCTTCGTCATCTCGGGCTACGTTCTGAGCTACAAGGCGATCCGGCTGATGCGCGCGGCTCAGTATCCTGCGCTACTCGACTCGCTCGCCTCGTCCGTCTTCCGACGCGGTATGCGCCTCTTCCTCCCCATCACGGCGTCGACTTTCATATCCATGCTCCTCTCCTACTGGGGCTGGTACATACGGGACCCGCAAGGGCATAATTCTATCCCGCCGCGGAAAGGCGACTTCTGGTCCCAGGTGAAGGACTGGTGGCACCATGTCGTGCTGTTGTGGAACCCGCTTGTCAACGTCGATGGACGGGCGCTGTATTCACCACCCTATGATGGACACCTCTGGACCATTCCCATCGAATACCATGGCTCAATCATAGCCTTTCTCGCGCTCCTCTGCGTCGCCAAGATGCGACCCTGGCTACGCCTCTGCGCCCTGACTGGGTTCAGCGTCTACAGTCTGTGGGCAACGCACTGGGATATATTTCTCTTCCTCACGGGCGCTTTATTGTGCGATGTGCACTTCGCGCGGGACTCCATCCCCATGCCCTCCTTCCTAGCCAAGATCCCCGCCCTCGGCCGCCTCATCGCCGCCGAAGCCGCCCTCTTCGCCATCGCCCTTTTCGCGACCCACCTCCTTTGCTATCCCGACGAACTCGCCTCCGTCACCCCAAGCTACCGTACTATCGTTTCTATCACACCCCACTCCATGTCCTCGGCGGGCCTAGGCCAGCGCTTCTGGCTCGCTGTTGGCGCAACCCTCCTCGTCGCCGTCATGGATATCTCGCCCCTCCTGCAAGCGCCATTTACAACGCCTATTGCGCAGTACCTCGGCCGCATCAGCTTTGCACTTTATATCGTGCACGGGCCGGTGCTGTACACGCTCGGAATGAAGATGTTGTATGCGGCAAAGCCGATTTGGGATGGAGAGGGAGCGCGGGGGAAGTTTTTCCTGGCGGCGGTGGGGGCGTGGATAGTGGATTTGATCGTTTCTGTGTATGCTGCTGATGTGTTTTGGAGGGCGTTCGATGCGAGTAGTGTGAGGTTTGCGGGCTGGGTTGCGGCGAAGGTGTGGGTGAGGGAGTGAGGTTTGGGAAGTTGGAGATGGGGGTTGTATGGATGGGAAGCGTTGAAGTTACAGTGTGTTATATGTAAAAAGAGGGGAGATGGGCGGCGTTCTTAGAATATGTCTTTATGTTGGTAACTTAACAGAGCCATACAGTGTGCAGCAAATCGTGATTCGCCATGATTCGCCATGATTCGCCATGATTCGCCATGATTCGCCATGATTCGCCATGATTCGCCCGAATCTGATTCGAATCATGATCTGACTCGGGCTATATTTTAATGATTCGAATCATTTGAATACTTGTCCAAGATGTTCGAGCGTCTAGCCTTCTAGAGTAGCGGTGAGGACTCACTGTCGTCCTTGATGTATAACGTACATGTATAGCGAAAGCGCCAAACAAGCGAAAGCGCCAAAATTATCTACCCTCACGACAAACATTGCGATAAATCTACCACAACATTAGAAATCAATTGAAACTACTCGGAGTCCTCTTCCTCAGAGGTGTCTATTACAATCTGACACGTGCGCGCATTGTGCCCAGTCTCACCACACTTGCCACAGCGACGGGCACGGGTTTCTTCCCTTGGCTTCCGACCACGGCTTGCCCTTATTTCCTGCTCTACCTGCTGCACAACATCCCTCTCATCCTGTAGCTCTTGCGCCCCTTGTTGACTAAGTGATCCTCCTTGCTGTAGTCGTGTTTTCCTAGCTCTCCGGCGCTTGCTTAGTACTTCATTTGCCTGTCGTAGGTTTTGGTTCTCTCCCTTTAGCAGTGCTAATTGATGCATTATTTGCGATGCACCCTTTGTAAACTGGTCAACAGCTGCATAGATTGAGGTTGGAGAGCTATTTTGATGGCGTGAAATCCGAGTTTTAATAAATGTAGACTGTGACATAGCTTCAATTGGGTTGTTTGGTGTCTGAGAAACCCAAGGTTGAGCAGTACCTGGGCGGGAGCTTGGAGGCGTTGGTGTCCTTAACTTAAGATCAAGTGTAGATATCACTCTCTCAGGGTCAAATGAAAGAAGCCCTGCCCCTCGGAACCCGCCTCGAATGTTACTTTCCGTCATTGTAGTGTTAAATGCAGCGTGGAAGGCAGGAAAGAAGTCATCCTTTGTAATATGAGAAATATGAGCCTGCATCATATCTTCAATTTGCCGACCATAGGCCTGCTTTAACGGGCCGAAACAGCCAACATCAAGTGGCTGGAGTAGATGATAAGAGTGAGCAGGCATACAAAGCGTAATAATGTTGTGTTCCTTGCAGTACTCCTCAAACTCATCTGAGTGGTGGTGTTACGACGGAACAAGAAGGCTGGCCAACTACAGGACAGGAAGGAGGGAGGTCGCATGAGACCGGCCCTGGTACCTGGAGGGGCAGCGGGGAATAGTAGTTCTGAAAGTATCACGTGACGGACTCGCAGGATGATGAGAAGAGTCCTAAGAGTCCAGGACTCCGAGGACTCGAGTGAGTTCCCAGGAGTCCACTAGGCACGTGATGGACTCGCAGGATGATGAGAAGAGTCCTAAGAGTCCAGGACTCCGAGGACTCGAGTGAGTTCCCAAGAGTCCACTAGGCACGACGCCACTATATAAGTAGATAGTATTTCCTTAGATAGGAGCTTCGTGCTCAAGTCAATACAGTATTTGTTATATACTAGTAACGTGTTACTTGAAGCCTTTGTGTCTGATCCCCTGCCTCCTCTGATAAGTAAACCTTTACGCAAGAGAACCTCTGTGTCTTCTATCGTTTAGAAGTCAGCGTTACAGGTGGCTCTCATGACCATCAAGGACTAACAAGTGATAACCACCAACACTCCGGGCCTTTGTATGCTTCTCAAAGTGCTGAATCCAATCCATGCCTCTCTCGTTTGTAGTCCAGCCATTTTCAGTAACAGAAATCACCCAATCGCTTGAAAATCCACTATTCTCATACCAAGATGAAAGGTGGTTTTTGCCTGCAACAATGATAAATGGTGGTACTGCCCAACCTTGAGAACTAACGCCTTGGATTACTGTAACCCATTCCCGATTACCAGGCTGTACCTTCTTTGCTTTTGCCCGCCCGTCTGAGCTTGTTACAACCATAGCAGTTGAGATAACGCCCATCATAAACCCAGTCTCATCAAAGTTGTAGATATCTGCTTCATCGATACCATATTTCGCAATTGTGTTACGCACAAGCTCAAACCAGCCATTAATAACTTCTGGATCTTCGCACTTAGCCCTCTGGTAGTCGTATTTGCGCTGAAAGCGTGTCTGGAGCTCTACACGCCGCTTAACAAAGTTTGAAGCCCAACGCGACCCAACGCGTGACGCGTCGCGTGTTGCAAGTAGTCGACTTGCCATATCTTCAACAACAGACAGCCGAGGAGGAAACCCTTTGGCAGCTAGGTCGAGTATATACTGAACAAGGACGGACTCCTCTAGGTTAGTTAATTTCCGTGAGTTGGCTTGGATATCGCGTCGTGAAGGTACACCTTCTAGACGACGACCTAGCTTGCGGTGGTCCACAGAATAGATCCTAGCAGCAACTCGAAGGCGTAACTTTGGGTCGCTTTGCATAGCCTGGATAGCTAGCACTAATTGGCTTTCATCGTTTTTATGGGGCATGTTTTGTTGTTGAGGAATTTAACATTTAGTTGGGGGGTTTGGTCACCGCATCATTTTGGCGCTTTCGCTTGTTTGGCGCTTTCGCTATACATGTACGTTATAGCTTGTTCAACAGTGGTTTGTCCACCTACGAGCGAAGCGAGTAGGTGGCGAAAGCGAGTTGGGTATGCGAAAGCGAGTTTGGGTATGCATCAATATGATATACATATATATGAATCAACGAGGTAATAGCATAGTATTGATAGATAACTACCTGAACAGTATAAAATTAACAGAGCTATTTCCACTATCTAAACTTTGTACCGACTCATTTTCATCTTCGTCGTCGCTAGTCTTGTATGCCCGAGAAATCATAATCAACAGCGCCTCACCAATTCCCTAATTCCAAGCGCTATAAACCAGCCTTGGATACAATGGATATCCGCTGTTCACAAAGTCCCCCCAGAACTCAATGCTGTCTGGATACGATGGCGCAAACTATACCATAAGAACATCACTGATGGAGTTATCACAATTGCCCCCCCTAAGTCGAACCTCGAGCTCCTCCGAACCCCCATATGGTATCACCTACTATTAGGAAACCACTCTGGGGCAGGAGCGAGACGATGGGGTAGCGGCATCTGGAAAACACTTAGGGAATCAGGGGCCTCCATGTTCGGCGACATCTGGGATTTAGATATCAACCAGCCGATCACTCCACCCTCCCTTACACCGCAGAAGTCATCAGAAGCCCGCCGTGCAATAGAACGCCTCATTGCAGAAATGCCTCAAGCATTGAAGGCTGTCCTTCACACCACCGCCTTCTCAACCTACGATCCTTCAGACCCACCGCGGAATGAATACTTCGTACAATATGAGAAAACACTCACCCCCCTCTACAACCTAAAGTTTACCACAGCGTACAAAGTACTACGAATAAGAAGGCTCCAGAAAGTCACTTCTCAGAGGCTGCTACGAATGTCATCACGGCATACCGAGCATGCACAGGAATATCATATTCTGCCGCCACCCTCTGGAAATCCGTCCGCAACAGCCACAGCTATAATAAAGCTGGCGACCTCCTCTGGCGCCTCCTACATAGCAAAGTCCAAACTGGAAAATCTCTGGAATGGATCCCTGAATCACTTCAACTGTGCCCCATCCACCACTGCAATTTCACAGCCGATCATATCTGGATTTCCTGCACTGTGGCACAAGCCGTTTGGGCTATAGTGGCAACAATATGGCAGCAGGTCTCTGACCTCCCTGCCCTAATCCCTCGATCAATGAATGAACTCAAGGCCCTCATGGCCTTTGGGCCATCTCACGATCGCATCTCACGGCGCCAATGGCAATCCATCGGCCGCACAGCAATTTGGAGCTTGTGGAAAGCATACCTCTCACACTCCTTCGAAAAACCAATTTACCTCTGGACAGAAGGAAGCGCCTGCAAAGCCTACCACGCAATGATGCTCCAGCGCATCCTTTCGGAAAGGGTGCTAAGCACCAAAGAAATATACCGAAACGCTGTCTACAATGAGACCAGCTTTACAAAAGTCTGGAATGAGAACCCGCGAGATATCCGCATCCTTAAGGGACCGCAATGCCTCCACAATCTCCTGTAATGGTGGGTGCACCAGATGTGAGAATCTAGCCACCCAAGGAAAGGGATGATTTTATTAAGACAACACACTGTCTTAGGAAACAGAGCCAAAGGGTTGTAGCTTAGACTATTCCACAACGCAGCAATCAGGTGTGTGATGTAGTGAAGTGGTTCAGACAAGTTGCAACAAATGTTGAGTCTGGGAACTCAGGGGTAAGTCAGAGGTTAACACCTCACTGACTTTTCAGAAACAAGGAGTAACAAGATGAATGCTTGGAAGCTTGGAAAAGACGTGGAAGTATGTGATAGTCAATTTACTGTTGTTACGATTACAGCTCACAGCTTGTCACAGCTTGTTACGGTTGTTACAGTTGTTACAGTTGTTACGGTTGTTACGGTTGTTACGGTTATTACGGTTATTACAGTTGTTATGGGGATTACGGGTGTCACCTTAGCCACAAGGTTACAACCGTAGCTTACAGCTTGTTATGGATGTTATGGTTGTTACGGTTGTTACAGTTGTTACGGTTGTTACAGGTGCAGCCTTAGCCACCAAGGCTACAACCGCTAAGCGGACAACTGTATATTATGAGGAATAGCCTCACCTTCCTTCCTTCTTCTTTTTCTTCTCTCTTTAGATTTAATCTAGCTTATTATTCTCTGGACTGGCTTCTTGACCTCCATGACCATCGTAACATAATATTGAATCTCTCCTTTCTTTTGCTCTCTAAGCCTGAACCTTGATACTGAAATTCGAATTCCCTTCTTTAGAAACCCTACAACCATATCCTAAAGTCGATTCTAGAACACACTAGAACACCACAGACTTCATAGATCAGACCTTTCACAATGCTCCCTCAACAAGGAATATAGCTGTGAGGGAAGTGCGCTCCTCTCGAGTGGCTCTTATAGTCGACAAACTGTGCAATAGGGCCTTTGGCGATATGAGTCTAATCTACTGAATACGCATATGATTG